AGCCTGTGCCCCGCCTCTGAGCATCAGCACTGGGCGATCCCTGCTCCACCACTGCTCCTCACCCAACAGCATACTGCATCATCCCCATCTGGCCAGGAAAGCAAGGGATGATTTGGGATTAGACCGGGACCCCAGTGCACACGGAGGGAGCCCCTGGGACCCCATCACACCCTGGCTGGGCTCAGGGCGCTCAGCTCCACAGATGGGTTGGTCCAAGGGACACTCGGCCATTCCTGAGAATGCCCTCAGCTCCCTTCTGGCACTGCTCCCCCTCCATCCTTCTTTCCAGTGCCTCACCCTCGCCCTGGGCGCTCATTCCCCCCACCAGGGCCACGGGTGCCCTTGGGCGTCCCTCCCGCAGCCGTTCCTCCTGGATCCCCGAGAGCCGATGCTGAAGTTGGGGCCACGTTCCCCAGCAGCGGTGAAACCTCCAAGTGATTTTTCCATCTGGTTGCAGGATGACAACCTCAGTGCAGACCCACAGCCTGGGTAACAACCAGCACTCGCTCTCCATTACGCCTGGCAGCAGGCGCCTCTCCTTGAGCCATCCAGCTGGAAAATGCCACTGCTGGCCAGTCCCCAGCTCCCATGCTTGCAGGAAGCGCCGGTGACATGGGAGCAGGGTGGCAGGACATGCCCCATCCCCCCCACCGGCACTGTGGGTGCAGGGGGGTGTCAGGCACGGGGCCGACGGAAGGGTGCTCCAGAGCAGGGACAGCTCCAGGCACCTGGGGCCAGGGTGGTGCCAGACCCCCCAGGCACCGGTGTGGCGGATCACGGCTCCCCGCTCCCTGCCCCGAGGTGTTAATGCCGGCACGGCACCTCCCGCGCTACTGAACAGGGTGTTTTTGCAGGCAGACAGCCTGCTCGCCACAGCCGCACATGGTGTACTCCACGTCCAGGACATGAGCAATTACATCCCATTCATTCAGGGCTAATTGCGCCCGGGGCTCACGGTGTGCTCTGCCGGCACTGGCGTAGGTGGTCCCCAACAGCCACACAGGGCTGGCAGGGCGAGAGGAAGGGACACGGTGCCAGGTCCTCCTGCCCCCTGCACAGCGACGGGTGGCATTTGCTCTCCCCACGCCGCCAGATTCAACAGAGCCCTCTGCTCCAACACCGCACCCCAGCACCACTGAAGCACCCGCACAGGGGCTCAGGGGCAGCCAGGGGGGCCAGCAGACTCGGGCAGCACAAGGGGCAGGGATGGCAAGGTCTGCTGGGGGTGAGGAGCAGGCAGCAGGATGCGACCCTCTCCCCTGCCTGGGTTTGGCACTAAGGTGGCAACTAACTAAGGTGGCAACGCGCCCCGCAAGCCTGGCCTTTCGGGACCCGAAGGTGCAGAGGAGCACGAGGGAGCAGCTCACTTGGTAAAGCTGCCTGCGCTCATTTACCAGAGCAATTCTCCAGCCAGTGCTGTAATTACACACAGCATTAATTTGCCAGTGAAGTGAATCCACCCCCCGTTTTATTTGCTGTGAAAGGGAAAACCTCTGTGCATCCTCTGCTGTCCTTGCAGGCAGACCCGCTGTCAAACAGGCGCTTGGTGTCAACCCCCACCCTTCGATTTGGGCTCACACCTCCCACACGCATCTCCTGCAGCATGCACACCCCCCCGGGGCCAACCCACAACGGCCACCCAGCCCATCACACACGACGGATGGGCAGGAGGGGTGCAGGGGGGCTGCTGTACCTGGATGTTGTCAAAGGACGCTTTGTTGGTGACATCGTAGAGCAGGAGCAGGGCTGCGGAGAGAGGGACGGTGCATTAGTGCTGGTGCCGTGGTTGCCGGACCGGAGCTCGGCCAAGCAGAGCCCATGGCTCAGAGTTTGCTCTGTACCGTTCCCCGAGGCAGCGCACGCCCCGCTGCGGGTCACGCCTGGGGACACGGCCTTAAAGCATCACTGGGGGCCCTGCTGTAAAATATAAAGCAACACACTTAAATCCAGTACGGGCAATGCCTTAGGCACGTAACGTTTGCACCTCAACATGCAGAGGCTCCTCCATCCTCAGCGGCTGCTTCCCACGGGGAAACCACTCAGGTGATCCTGATTCACCTGGCCTGGAGTCGTGGCTTGAGGCCCCAAAAAGCCGGAGGGAGGGGGCTGCCCCCCGGGAAGCAGAGGTGGCCGTGCTTACCGTGGGCATCCCGGTAGTAGGCGTGGGTGACGCTGCGGAAGCGCTCCTGCCCGGCCGTGTCCCAGATCTGGAAGGCAGATGGGAATGGGGGGGTCAGCCATGACCTGCAGCCACGCGGGCTGAGGGACCCACCCAGCACCAAAACCAACACCGAAGGAAATGGCACGGTGCAAGCCCAGGAAGCTCCTTCAGCCTTTTACTTCTAGGGACAGCACTAGGAAAAATGACAAGCGCAACAAATATTGAAGCAGCACCTCCCTGCTCCTCAGTGCATGGAGATGACGGTGCGTGGCAAAGGGCTCCCAGCATGTCCCTTAATCAGAAAATCCATCCAGCAGATGGATGTGTGGGGACCGGCTGATTTAATTTATCAGTTTTTAATGCAGCGATACATTTGCAGAGTGCCACGCTGCTGTCAGGGGAAGATCAGCGCTAACGTTGTTAGTGAGCTCTGGGCAAAGGGGTCAGAGAAACGATCCGGTCTCAGGGGGCTGGAGGGGGAGGGACATGAAGTTTCCCACTTGTCCCACGGGCTGGACGCAGGTTGAGCCAGGGGATGTGGATCCCTTCTGAGGAGCTCTGTCCCTCTCACCATCAAAAGCAGGAGCTGCCTGGAAACACCTGGCAAACCCCGCAGGCGCTGCTCCGGTCTCACCAGCTCCAGCTGGAGCCACCGGCCAGGAGGCGGATGGGCTGGGACGGGGGTCACGGCTGCCAGAGCAGCCCCCAGACTCGAGCAGGCTCCCAACGAGGGGAGAGAGCAGCTGGAAGGGCTTGTAAGGCTGCCCCAGGGCAGGAGACGCTGACGGCAAAGGGTGGAGATGGGGGACCTGCTTCTGGGGTGTTCCTCTGCTGAGAGGCTTTGCCCAGCCCCAAACACTCACGGTGGGGGGGGGGGGAGGGGGCAAGGGAGCTGCTACCAGGGCCACGGGGACGTACCTGCAGCTTCACCTTCACCCCATCCACCGTCAGCACCTTATTCTGAAAGAGAAGAGAAAGGGAGGTGAGGGGCACTGAGGGTCCCGGGGGCACAGGTGCAGCCTGAGCCCCCAAGCTGATCTCCGCTCCCTGTTTTTTGAACTTGCATACACCAGTCCCAGCGCCCGATGGAGCCTGATGGAGCCATTTGTGCCCGATGGAGCCATTGCAGCCGGAAAATCATTCCCCGTGTCTGCCGCAAGTCGTGTCTCTTTGGGTAGTTAAACCCTCCCATCTGCAAGGCTGATTTAGTGTGGAGCGTGGCTCGGGCTAGAAGACCTCTGGCAATAAATTAACAAGCACCAGCATCCCACCTTAACGACCTTCCAAAGAGCAGCCAACTACTCCATATTCAGTTAGCAACTTAAAAATAACTCCTCTTCCTGCTGTTTGTACCCATTTTTCTCCCAGCGAGCACCGGTTTGTCTCTCAGGCTTGGTTGTTTGGCTTTTTTTTTTTCCCCATTTTCCTTATTTTTAGCAGGAAAGGTGGGAAGGAGGAGAGGGGGCAGCATCCCTCCGCACTGCCCCACGGGGTTTTCTCCAAAGCCAACAGGAAAGTTTTTGCAATGGCCTGGAGCACCCCCTGGCAGAGACAGGAGCCGTGGGGGGAGCCCCTCAGTGCCCCCCGGGGCGGCCGTGCCAGCCAGCGAGGGCAGGGGATGGATCCTGACCGCATCCCAGGGTGACTGCTGGCCTGGCAAGCTGCACCAGGCTCTCCAAGCTTTAATGAAACCCAATCCCAACAATCCAGCAATCCCAGGGGAAGGAGTTGAGAAGAGATTAATTTGCCTGCTTGATCCACTGAAACCAGCATGGTAATCAGCAGGACATGACAAAACCATCACCAGGGAACAGCGCATCAGTGTGGGATGCCCAGGGCTGCCTTGACCCTGGCCGGGCTCCGCCAGCTCTGCCCCACTCCCCGCCTTCCCCAGCACCAACCGGCCGGAGCACAGGCTCTGCCCTGGCTCACCCCCAGCACCGCGCATGCCACCAGCTCCAGCACCACCAAAACCTTCCCAGGCAAACGGTGGCAGACGTGTGCCAAGGGCCACCCCATCCCACACTGCTCGGCACCACGTACCGGGCACCTCGGGGTGCCAGCGCCTGCCATCACCCTGCCAGGACAGCGCCAGTGCGGCTCTTCGTTTGGATGTTTTTAATTAGGGCAGAGGGAGCACCCTGGCTCCTGCACATCTACGCTCGCCGAACAGTGAGGACACGGACGAGGAGGAGAGGGCAGGAGTGGGCCGGATCGCTAAATTTGCACAGTCTGCTAAAGCAGGCGCAGGGGAGACGATTGCGGTTTATAAATACCTTCAGAGGCAGCGACCGAGACGAGGGAGGGGAGTGATTCACAGCCTGGGAGCGGTAAAAATATGCTGGCAGGCTGCGGGGTGGGGGAGCCGAGACGGGCTCAGCGGGCCGGATGGGGGTTCGGGACCAGCTCGCCGTGCCCCACACATGGAGCCAAGCCTTTCCCCAGGACACGAAGCCAGGGCCGCTGAAGGCTTGAAGGGCTCAAAACTGAGGGTTCCCACTGCCGCCAGGCGAGCCATCGCTGGGGTGCAAACACGTACCATGGTCAACTGCACTGAGAAAATCCGAGCGGAGGAGCTGCCATCCCAGAGCACGGAGAACTGCGCTGCCAGGCACCCCTTCCATGGGTGAGACAGAGCAGATTTACCTTCTGCAGAAGATCCAGTTTCTCCCCTCAGTTTGCCCTCCAAAAACCCGGGTGCTACTGCAGGAGCCGGTGCAGCACCAGAGGTGCTGGCACATCCTGCAAGGCGGAGGGGGTGGGAGCCCCATGGGCTCCACACCAGTGTGATGCTCACCCAAACGCCGTCCCCAATCGGTGGCAATCAGCCGCCGATGTCACCTGCCAGGGACCGCAGCAGGGACACTGTGCCAGGAGCTGCAGAGGCTGGAAAGCTCTTGGCGCGTCCCTGTTGGCCCTGGAGCGCCTGGCTGCTCCAGATCTCTGCACAAGCACCAGCAGCCCTCGCAGGGGAAGAGGACGCTTGGTGTGATGGGTGATGACAAGGGACAACGACACCAGGAGCTTCATGTTAAAACTGCACCAAACAAGCGCCCTTCCTCACGCAGCCCCAGCACCCCCAGCTCGGAGGAGCGTGTGCCGAGGGATGGCTGTGCCCGGGGACGCAGCCACGTTCCCAGCGTGGCCGTGCCCCAAGGGTGACTGGCTGCCACGAGCGGGAGGGAGGGATGGAGCACATGGCCCTGAGCACGGACCAGCCGAGCCAAAGCAACCACAAAGCATCTGGTGAGCAGCCGAAAAAGCTGAAGCTCTGGTGTTGCACCTCATGCATCAACCTCCACTTCAGGAGCTTAATTAAAAGCAAAGCTGGCAGCAGCAGGATTCGCACTAATTACGACTGACCTACATTTTAGGGAGGGGGAAATGCTTAAACCTAATTAAAGGCTGCACATGGATCTGGGCGCTGCTGGACTGGGCTGGGGTGAAAAAATGGGAGCCCCCGGGGTTTCGGTGGGGAACAGAGCAGCGTTTCAGGGCATTTGCAGAGATGCTCCTGCAGGCAGGACACACAGCCAGAGCCGTCCGGAGCAGCGGCTCCTGCCTGCACCCCTGCCTGCACCCCTGCCCGCACCCCAGCACAGGGCAGCTGCAAAATACGGGTGAAGAAGCCGAGCAGAAGGTGGGAGGAGCGGGGCGGTAAAAGGCAGGGGCTGCCGCCAGCAGCACACAGCAGCTCCCATCGGCGCCACGTGAACCAGTCGCCCAAGTCTTCCCCCGTACCACAGTAACAGACTTTCCACCTTCCAGTTGTTATTATTTTTTCAAGGAGCTGACAATTCAATTCCATACCCACAGCCCTTCAAAGGCACAGCTGGGGGGGTTAACAACTAATAAGCATGCAAATACAAAAGACAACGTGTGTCAATGCACTGAAACACGGAACGCGCTGCCAGCGCCGCCAGGCCCGACCGCAGTGAGCGGGAGGTTGTGCTCTTCAGGGCTCGTTCTTAATTTTGCACAGTTTAACATAATCGGGGCAATACTCGCAGCAGGCCACCCGCCACACAAAAGCCAGCAGGGAAGCTGTCCCTGCAACTCAGCTCTGTTGTTGCCCCTTGCAATTTCAGTTTTTATGCGTCCTTTTTCCTGGGGCTTTGACAATGTTATTAAAATACCTTCTAGCAGGGGCTGCAGAGAAATGCCTGGAGCGCCTTTCTTGGAGGAACACGATGCTCATAAGTTAAAATAACCCTCAGGACGTCAGAGTTGGAACCTTGCAGAGGCAGGAAAAATTAAATTACCAAGTGCAGATGGTCCGCAATTAAGAGCGGCGTTATCAACACACCAACGGCCCCGCTGGCTGCAGCCCCGGCGCGATCCCACCCCAGTGACCGCAGCGCAAGCGTGGCCGTTCGCCAGCAGAGAGGAGGGAGGACAAAAGCACTCATGACAGGGTGAAATGGCACTGCTTCCCAAAACGATGACAGACGATGCTCCCACCCAAACCAAGGTGCCCCCACGCTGCTCTCGGGTCAGCTCGGCGATGGCTGCGGTTTGGGTAGTGCCACTCCCCCAATCCACAGGATCCCCACGGTGCCGGGAGTGACCGGCACATCCCGGCCCGTCTGCGGAGCCCGTGCCAGCGCCGGCTGCGGTGTAACCCAGGGTGAGCAATCGCACAACAACCCGGCCACTCCCCGGCTTTTCCATGCATTAGCTCTTTAATTAAAGCCTTAAAAATTAAATCGGATACATGGATTAACTCGCTTCGCAATTAATCTGACAAATAGAAAGCTGCTTGCTGACACCACTCAGGCTCCAGCAAGGGGGAACCCTTCACCCTGGCTGCCCGGCGCCTCACATGGGTGCTGGCTCAAACGATGCT